GCGAAAGATAACAGTACTGAGAGAACGCAGAGATTTGTCTTGCGTCTGAGTGGTTCAGTTCAGAGGCTGCAACCTAGGACACAGTAATAATGTATATTTTCATTTTTCATTACTCATCAGGATAGAAATGTTGTCTCCAATGTCCTGCCAATATTGTATTGATCAGCTGCACATACAATACACAAAGGTTGAGCATTAATGTACATATTCCGTCACATCTCCATGTTATCGATTTGAGGGGTTTGGACTGTTCATCATGCTTTAGAAAGAGGCTTTGTGAAAGCTGTGCAATCCCAGACAGAATGAGAAAGTGTTGTTTTGTAAGAGGATTTACCATAGATGCTTACACCCGTAGTACAAAACACAGAACACCTAAAAGAGTGACACAATGTATAAATGTATGTATTTATCTATATAACATGCATTCAACTTTGAAAGGTTATTTTACATGCAGTGACACTTTTAGCGTGCAATACTAATGTAAGCTAACAGAAATACATCATTAAGCCTGAGCAAATAAATATATAAATACATGTTTGAAAATGAGTTTGATCCTCAAATTCCGCTGCAGTGGGATTTGCTGATCCTCTGGTGTGAGTGTTAGCCATGCACACATTTCCTGTGCCACATGCATATGTCACTGGCACACATGTGTGGATTTGCAATTCTCATGTCTGTCTTGCAGCTGTGGTGTGTGTCATTCCGTTTAACTGGTGAGTTACTCCTGCTCTGCACTGCAAACCCCTACCCACCCAAAAATGATGCAGTACTACACACCCTCAGCGCTAGTGAGCTTGGCCCAATCCCGTCCCACAGCATGAGTATTAATCAGAGAACAAGAGAGAGAGATGGGCTGATAAACCCCCCCCACTCTGTCTCTGTTCCCTCTCTCTCTCTCAGCCTCTTTCTCTCACTCTCTCCTCTCTCTCTCTCAGCCTCTCTCTCTCTCTCTCTCTCTCTCTCTCAGCCTCTTTCTCTCACTCTCTCCTCTCTCTCTCTCAGCCTCTCTCTCTCTCTCTCTCTCTCTCAGCCTCTTTCTCTCACTTTCTCCTCTCTCTCTCTCAGCCTCTCTCTCTCTCTCTCTCTCTGTCTCTCAGTCCCATATCCTGGTGAAGACAGAAGGCGTGCAGACTCCCGCACACACGGCAGCACAGATCCAGACCCTCCGGTGGACAGACAGTGTGCAGCGCTCAGACAGAAACAGCTCCTCGGTACGGTAGGACAGCAGTGCAGGGCAGGGGGATGGTTGTGTCTGGGGCTCTCACAGTTATTTTACAGTGCCTTAACAAAGAGGTGACATGGGGCTGCCTGCAGAACTTCATCTCTCTCCCTCTGGGGTGGGGTTCTCTGCTTTACTGCCACTCCACATAACCCTGTGCTGACAAAGGCAGCATTCATTTTTATAGTGTGACTTCCAGAACAGGATTGTTACAGTTTGAAAAGGAAGCCATATTGAGTACATCATGGCAGAAATGCTGATGCGTCCATAGTGTCAGGAGTTTAAGGAGAGGTCTGGCGGGGATAGGCTACAGGCTCAGTGTCTTAAGGGGGCCTTTCTGGGGGTCATCTGGAAAGGGACAAGGTCCTGGAGCTGGAAAGGGAGCCAGTAGGCTTTTGGTTGGGGTTGAAATAACACAGAAAAGAACATGGGCCAGTGAGTGGTACAAATGAAAGGGAGAAATGACATGTGCCGATCTGAGATTAGCAAACAGGGGGAAGGGGGGTGTGGTCAGAGAGACAGAGAGAGGAGCTGCAGTGGATCTGCTCTGCACTGGATAAACAGGTTGCTGGGAATGATTCCAGACAGCAGCTTCAGGGATGTGTGTGTATGAGTTAGGAATGAGAGAGAGGATGACAGAAGAGAAATGTAGAGGAGGAGGGGAGGATTATGGGACATTGTGCTGGCAGCAGGAGGACACAAAAAGGCTGTGACTCACTGTGATGCATGCATGTGCATGGGGGAGTCTGAATTCTTAGGCATTTATTGCTTAATTTTTCAAAAGTGTAGTCACATCCTGGATTTCCTTTCTGCGCCAACAGCAAACATGTCAGACAAGCCTGACCTGACAGAGATCGAAAGCTTTGACAAATCCAAGCTGAAAAAGACAGAGACTCAAGAGAAGAACCCTTTGCCCACCAAAGAAAGTAAGTGGCCTGGTCTGTCTGCCTGCAAAACAACTGGTTCACAGTCAAGAGGTGGAGATTTCAGTCAGTTACAAATGAAATAAATTACATGTTTTAGCAGAGCCCTGCAATTGTTATTTTATGGCTCCAGGCTCACAAATCTCTCTCATTCAGGAAAAAATCTACTGCAGCAGATCGTAGAAGTTGGAAAATGGAACGATCAGCAAATTTTAGCCTTACTTCACTGTATATGTTTTGCACTGAACTTCTTACGCAGCAGAGTTCAGTGAAAATGTGGAGTGTTTATACCTGAATTAAATTCAAAGTGTGGGGCTTAACACAGTTACCACAAATACATTGTAACTGTTGAGGGAAGTTTTTTTCACCCACTTTAGAAAGCTACATTTATATAATGCATGTCACTGTAGCTTTGCCTTTAAGCCTCCTCTTATTCATTCGGTTATATATTATTTATAGTTTATATTAAATTAAATTTGCAAAGTAGCCTACTCTGTACCATTCAAGACCTCAACATTTAATGTAATTTATTGACAGATGAAATTATGAGTACATAGTTAATGAGTTGAACAATTAATATTCTCTCCATCTCTCTCTCTCTCTCACACACACACAGGATTAGGGTTCGCTCTAATCAAATTGCATTTGTGGAAACATGTGCTCTGTTCTTCCACAGAAATCTGCTGGCTTAAAGTTAAAAGGGATACTTCATTTTCAAGGGATACTTAAAGTTACCCCTGAATCTGTTATACCCCTGTTATATCCAGAATACATACTGTGTAAGGGAGGAACCATGAAAACTGGTGAAGCGCCCCTGTAAAGCAACATTCATGTTACCACTCCGCCGAGCTTCAGTGATTTCATTTCTTGTACATGTGGTTTCCGTAGTGTAGTGGTTATCACGTTCGCCTAACACGCGAAAGGTCCTCGGTTCGAAACCGGGCGGAAACACGTTTTGCAACAAAATAAATTTTAGAAATATGTTTACATATTCTTTGTAAAAAATATTGTAATAACGCTGTAAAATGTAATACTGCAATGTTACTTTCATCAAAGAAATAAAGGCATACATCAGAAAGTAACTATTATTCAAATAAAATGGGACTTATTAAAATGTGAAGGATTTGATTCCAAATATTCCAAATATTTAGTGCTAATGTCAGCAGTAAAATGTACTTTATTGCTCTTTTTCAGCCATTGAACAGGAGAGGAAAGGAGACTCTTCTCCCTGAACAAAGAGGGGGAGGAAATGTCCAGCGGTGTCTTGTGGACAGGCCATCACCATAGGCATTTTACTTCTGATGTGGCAAATGCCTCCTTGTTTGTAAATAAAGGAGTCCAGTGACCCTGGTTTTTTATTTGACCATGGACTGCTCCTTTTTTTTTTTTTTTTTTTTTACCAGTGTGACTTGTTTCTGAATCAATAAACTTAATCTTTAATTACTTCTGCTATTTGTTTCTGTCACTTTTTTCTATAAACCACAGACTCATGGGGGAAGTGTTATGTGTGAACAATATGTGGAGTAGGAGACACAAATTATAACTTTCAGTATTTAAATTGTATTTTAAAAATGATAATAGCTTTTTTTAACTGTCAGGTGTACCAGTATTTCCAGCAAAAATGTATGCGCCTTTTTAATAATAAAAAAGAAAGTGTTTTTATGGCACAGGAGACATTGTTGTGTTAATGGTAAATATGTCAACATGCCAAAGGAACACCACCATATTGTGTATGTTCTCTGCATTTTGCATAATGTTGATGGTGCACTGTGCTTCACCTCAAAATCTGTTTCCGCCCGGTTTCGAACCGAGGACCTTTCGCGTGTTAGGCGAACGTGATAACCACTACACTACGGAAACATATGCACTGCTGTCTACAAAAAGTGTTATGGACAGTAACAGCGTCAATAAATATGTTATTTGTATGTTTGCGTGTAATAAGTATTTGTAATTATTTCTAATTGACATACGTCACAACGTTATAGCTGTACTATTTTCAGTTTCACTTTTGTATCCTTCAGTGATTTCGTATGTCGTATGTAAGTTTCCGTAGTGTAGTGGTTATCACGTTCGCCTAACACGCGAAAGGTCCTCGGTTCGAAACCGGGCGGAAACAGATTTTCAACTCAAGCATAGAGCAGAATGAAAAAATTATACGACAGATCATGTTTCCAGAAAATGTCATAGAGTTTCTTCCCTATTCCAATTTCCAGAATTGCAGGAATACCTCTCTGCACTTCTATTCATAGAATGGCTGATGATTGGTTTGACAACCTCTTGTAACCAAAGCCAATGCACCACAACATGTCACCCAGAGCACAAAACCTTGATTTCTGAGCTTTGGAAGGAAATAATATGGGCTATGTTCAAATCTTCAGTTGCAGCACACAAAGGACCAACATATTGTCAGAGACTGAAATGTTTCTTGCTCAAAGTTGTAGCAAGAACTGTTTCTATGACATCTATAGTATGCAGGTTTTTGTTTCAGACACAGAGTGCTATTCCCAAATTCTAACAAGCTGCTCATTTTAATTGTTCAACAATCGTAGTTTTACTTGGCAGATAATTTTGCAGATAGTTCCAATCCAAGCAATTTGATTGGCTGAGGTGTTTTTAACAACAGAATGCAGCTGTTCTATTTTAGTCTTCACTCAAGTTAGTAGGCTTAATAGCATCTGAATGTGGTATGATTTTTTTGGGGGGGAGGGGAGCAAAGCAAGGCCTTCTAGGGCATGAGTGGTGGTCTGATTAGTACTCTGTATGGTACGAGGAAGGAATAGGAACCCATTTTGGGCAACCATGCATATCTTATGTTATATGTTCCTATGACAACCAAGAAATAAGAAGCATGAACATAAGTTTCCATAGTGTAGTGATTATCACGTTCACCTAACAAACAAAAGGTCCTTAATTCAAAACCAGGCAGAAGCACATTTTGAAGGCTGGTTGCCTTGTATAACAAAGTACTGTATACAGTATGGCAAAGTACAAGGGCGATGACATAGAATTTAGTCATGTGTAGCAGAACAATGTATGTGAAACTTCCACTCGGAATGTGCAAACAGGATCTATCACAAATGAATACATAACAGAACATATTTTCTTTGCAATGTAATTGTTAACAATCGCAAGAGATCACATATAATCTGAACAGTTCCATTAAACTTAATATTGTTGATCTTCAAGATTAGTTCTGCTGATTTGTTCCAAGTGCAAAGCAAATTGTAAAATCTATCCACCATTGTATGCATGTTATAATGGTTAAGTAAATTGTAGAAAAGTTGGTATGCTTTCAGACATGTACCGCTAGGGCTAGGATAGGTCCTGTCAGAGGGAAGGACACCAGAGCTGGGACAGAGGAATGATCGTGGGACTTCTGGAGTGACACTACAGCCACAGGAGTTAGGTCCATCTTCTGGGTCTTATACATGTCCCAGGTGAGTGGAACAGGGCAACAGCCTTGCTCTGCATACTGCAACCCAGGCCCCTTCATTGTGTCCCTGTTGGAGACCAGCAGACTACCAGGATATTTACCCTCTCCCATTTCCTTTACAGCCGCCATGTTCAGCTCCATGATCAGCACAGGGTGAAACGCTGCAGGTAGGACCACATTAAGCTGCTTCATGTCTACTAGCTTCTAGAAGTTCCAATAGGCCACTCCAGTCATATCCTGGGCCAGGAACAGCTTTGTGGAGACCCTGTTTCCCAGCATGCCGGGTGGATATAGAATCCCTCTTGCAGAGAGGTGCCCCTGATATGGAATCAGATTGGTACCATCCTCACCCTTGGTGTACTTGAGCTGCAGGTTTCCACTGTACCTGTAGAGGACCCCTTCCTCCATAGTAGGGTCACTCAAGCATCCTCTCAGTATGTGCACCTGCTGGATCCTCAACACCTACAGAAGGGTGGTTAGCCAGTAGTGGTGCAGAACATCTTCCTCTGTCTGCACCAGCTCACTTGGGTGTGGCACCTTTGTCCTGCAGCACTCTCTGATGTGCTGCTTGGTGGGATCAGCAGGGACAGTCCTACAGAAGGGGTTTGACTCCTTCAGCCACTCCAGGTCACCTTGGTCTATCTCAGTGTAGACTACAGAGGGGAACTTGCTGAAGTAGCTGTAGAGTGTGGTGTTCTGAAGCACACTCCCTGGTGAACCGTTGCATGCTGTGGAACAAGTCGAGCTTGATCATAATGTTCCTGTTGAACTAGCTTTTCTAGACACAGGTTACTTCTGCCACTATAGCCTCTGTGGTCCTCCAGGACTCCAACACATGATGCTCATGGGGCTCAGGTTCCAGGACCTTGAAGGCAGCGGAGCAGTCCCTGTGTATACAGGAAGAGAAAAAAAAATACATGTGCAACTGAAAAAGTGTAAAAAAAAAAACAAAAAAAAAAAAAAGTGTGTCAGTGTCATTGTTTCATAACAGATGTAAACAATTTTTGGTATGGCACTAAGCAATAAAAGGAATTTGTTGAAATATGAAAATATGAAATTGTTTATATATGTGAAAGAAAAGCACTGAAAAGGGTTAATTGAACCTCTTAGTCTGTCTTCTTTATGAAAGCCTTATTAACTTCAGGAGTGAAAATGAGAAATGAACTGGTTCATGTTATTAATACCTGTCCACCCACTGGTACTTGGCTTTCTCATGTCCACAGTATTGTAGGGATTAGGCAGCCCCTCATACATAGGCTCCAAGGACTACTCACTCTCACTCTCACTGCAGCATCACGCAGGATAGGATCGCCCAGTTTTCATTCATCACCGCATAGGATGACATGGTGCCAGATGACAGGGTCACCTTTCTGGGCATTTCACAGGTGTGGCCAGACCTGAAGACCTGTCCAAAGGTGCCTTGGAGGAGCTGGGTATGGGCTGGTTCTTTCCCTTGGTATTCTTGGAGGATGCACTATGTCAAGTGGTGTCACAGATACTCCACACCAGCCATCTGCATCTTCATACCCCGCAAACTGTGCAGGTGACTCTTCCTGTCTCAGGAATCCAGTGATGGTCCTCTGCCCACACAGCTCTGCCACAGCATCCATAACATTCTGCACACTGAGCAGGTGGGCCCTCATGTTTCAGGTGCTGGATCTGTTTGCTGGTTAGCCAGGTCATTGGGTGACTTGTCAGTGCCCCAGGGTGACCAGTTCTACTTTTCAGTCTAGTGGTTAGCAGCTGAGAGGGATTTATGTCTAATTTGCACAGATCCAATGTCCTTATTTGCACATTTCAAATCATCTCAGTGATCAGGATGAGCTATCCTTCCCAGACTAGAGCTGAGAATCTCTTTGGATGCAAAGTACCAGAGCATTGCATCACACGCTCTTCCTTTCCCACAGTCAGTTTTTTTTACTCATGACAATTGTTGCTATCACCTTTCGGCTGAAAATGATGTGGTCATTACATCAGGGCCGTTTGATATGCATGGTATCTTGCAGCACACGACCAACATTATTTGTCAGAATAGGTTGTGGGGAAGCCTTTGGAGTAAAATTACTTTAGCCAATTAAAGACAGGTATGCATCCTGTACGTTAATACCAGCTTCACGTTGCATCAAATCAAAGTATAACAATAGACGTCTTGTTGCAGTGACAACCACCATCTTACCCACTCCCTTGCCACGTTTCCATAGTATAGTGGTTATCATGTTCGCCTAACACGTGAAAAGTCCTCAGTCTGAAGCTGGGAGGAGACAGGTTTTGTGAGTGTCACAGCATGTCCCTGGTTGAACGTTCATCCTCTCCCAGTGACAGAGCAGAGTAACTGGTCGACAGGACAAAATCCAGCAGATAGTCCCCATGGTGTCAACATACAGTTAATGATTGACAGACTCAACGGGGAAATTCAGACAGAGGAATGAACATGATCTGAGACAACCCAGACAGGATTACGGTGATTCACACTCTGTACCCACAACAGTAAATTACTCAAGTACACTTTCAGACTAGGGGAAACTCTTGAATCACTACAAACAACCCAAAACAGAACCCCATTAGTGTCTCAAAGTGACCTTTTTTGAAACCACATTTGTTCTGCTTGACAAAGCACCCCCAACATTGCTGAGCTCTTGCTTGCACATTTCCTACTTTTCAACAAAACAATCAGAATCCATAGATGTGTACCACCCTGTAGGAGATGAGACTTCCAAAACAAACTTGAAAGGTCTTGTGCCCTCTTCAGGCAGTAAAGAGGAAACAACTTTCCCCATTTCAAACATTTCCCCAGTGCATCAACATAATGAACCAAAGACAACATCAGCTGTGTCAGTTCAGATACTCACATTCAGGTAAAACCTCACCACTGAAGTTTCAATTAATTCCCAAAACTGAGTATTTCACCTTCCATTGAAATCATATTCCCAAAATATTCAAGAATCTTATCAGGATGAAGATTTAAAAAGCAAATTTCAGTTGAAATTGACAACATGCAGCAGGACAAGCAGCTCCACCCTCTCCAGCCATTTTTGGAACGTTTGACACATCTTTGTGTCTGAAAGGCACAAGGTATTTGCCCAAGTAATACCCCCAAGACATATTTCATTTTCCAGGGCAATAGTAAATTCTTTAAGCATCAACCTGTGCAACTCAGCAACTCTGTTCCTGAAATTCACATTGAACATGAACTGCCAACAACCCAAGAAGCAAAGCAAGCTTCCATTACACAACTCCTTACTGAACGGTCACCCAAAAACAAAGAGACAAAGCAAGCCAGCATTCCTCTGCTTCACAGTAGCACTACCAAATCACATCTAGTCAAACACCACATTCAAACATACTACTCAAAGCAGGGGAAATTTAACGTTAGATTTTTCAGTAAATCATTACGCATTAGGCGTAGTAAATAAAGATCCACACAAATCTTAAACCAAAAGTTTATTTCTAGGAATTGCCCAAGACACTAGAGAAAAGGAAATTTCCAGTGAGAGGGGGAGTGCCCTCTTACATTGCAGGCGTAATCTCAATATGTAGGTAATTAACACTATAAAAGCCACTTAAAAACGTAGACAAAGATCAAAGTTAACTCTTAAAAGCCAAACAAAAACAAAAAGCTGGCTGCCCTCAACTAAAAGCCAATTGCTGACATTTACTAGACAAGCATACAATTAAGTCAGACTAGTTTAATCCCTTTTACATCGATCTTAGACACCCCACCCCGTCTTCACCCCTGCTCTGAAGCCATGCAACTTGCATCACCAAGACTCAGCACAAAAAAAAAATAAAGCAAATCTAGGAACACTGAAAAAAATTACTCAAAATTGTTTATTTCAAAAGCTCTGGTAGCTCTGACCTTGGTTGTGGTAAATCCAGAAGACATGTAAAATACAACCATACAATACATTATTCAAAAAAGGTACCAAAAAGTACAGTAAAAATAACACTTCCATTTCTGGAAATGTATATGGACACAAAAAAAACAATATAAAATAAAAATGTGGAAAAGTGACATTTGCTTCCCCCGATTCCTCAATTGTTCTGTACAAATGGAGCATGAGTCTGTAAGTCTGCCAACTCCCAAAAAGAAAGTCAGGCCCCCGCGTCTGCTGCTGCTGCTGTCGCTTCACGGGTGCCGTTGCGTCGATTTCACCTCAGTCCTTGAAAGAGAGAAAAGACAATCTTGGATACTCACTGTGCACTAAACCACACCCAAATGCCTGAAAGAAAAGCATAAACAGCATAATGATGCATTTAAATGCTTAAAAAGCATGAATATATAAGTACAGACAGGTTATTTTAAACACAAGCTCACTACTCTGTCCAGTCAAAATCTCTGATCAAACAGGATTTTGTGGAGCTTGTACCATAGGACTTTGACCACCACTGGACTGTGTAACGACTCATATTTGCCAATCATGGCTCATTATTGAAGCTACCAATCAAAGTTTAGACAGCACTATATGCTCTCACATTTAACTGAAGCTGTATTGCCGTG